CAAAGCCAACAACAGGAACATCACATGCATCCTTCTTTCTTCTCTCCTCCTTTGCTTTCTCTGCTCCCTGCTGTTTTTTGGTTGGCCTGGAGAAATCACTTGCGTTCTCAGGCAAACAATATTTGGCACCATTTTCTCCATCTCAGTTTCCTGTGTCTTGGCCAAAACCATCACCGTAGTTCTGGCTTTCCTCGCCACCAAACCAGGAAATCGGATGAGGAAGTGGCTAGGGAAAAGACTGGCAGGATCCGTCATTGTCCTTTGCTCCCTCATTCAAGCTCTTATCTGCGTAGTATGGTTGGTCACATCTCCTCCTTTCCCAGAGTTGGACATGCACTCCCAGACTGATAAGATCATTATGCAATGTAATGAAGGCTCAGATCTCATGTTTTATATTGTCCTTGGCTACTTGGGGCTGCTGGCCACCATCAGTTTCACTGTGGCTTTCTTTGCTAGGAAGCTGCCTGATACATTCAATGAAGCCAAGTTGATCACCTTCAGCATGCTTGTGTTTTGCAGCATTTGGGTGTCCTTCATCCCAGCCTACCTGAGCACCAAGGGAAAATACATGGTGGCTGTGGAGATCTTCTCCATTTTGGCTTCTACTGCAGGTTTACTGGACTGCATCTTTTTCCCCAAATGCTACATTATGCTGTGGAGCCCACATCTAAACACAAAAGAACATTTGACCAGGAGGATAGCTTAATGGTTAAATCCAACATTCTATTAGTAAGCCTTTCACCTGGTGACCAACAGATCCTTAGGGGACAGTCCAAAAATTCTAGATTGCAGCCATGACCAAGCAACTGAAATCCTTCTTTTTTCTTGTGTATGTATTATCCATGGAGTAGAGAAGCAGGGCTTTCATAGATCAATAGGAATTGTCTGCTCGATGTTTTTTAAAGCATACACATGCACACCCACACTACTGCTGGTGATTAAATGTTATGAAAAGGAGTCCATTCTTCCCTTACTAATGTTGAAATAAATATTCTATTACATGTATGCCTCTATGATTTTATTGATATATAACTCTTAGTGATATTACTTCATAGTTTTTAGGAAAGGATCCTACTGATGATTTAGGGGAGATAAAGAGAACAAGTGTCATTTGGGAAATACACTGTACTAGTAGACATGCTGGGTGCACTTTCCTGGAACAGGAGCTTTCCAGATATCAACTTTGCTCAATATTATACTCATTTAACCCATAAACAACCCTTGTTTTTTATTCATTGGAGGAGTAAACCCTGGCTCTTCCAGAGCTGCTTTGGGGGAATGGTTGATTTTAGTTCTCCTGATTATTGAGTACCTGTGAAAAACTGTGTATTGGCATTCGTTTTATGTTGTATTAGTTTATCAACCTGATTTCTGCATAAGCAGGGGAAGCATCTCAGAGTTGCTTATGACTTGAGTAGTGTAGAAACTACAGGAAAAAACCACAGAAACCCAAGGTGTGTTTTTGCATGAGCAGAGATTTCATATCTACAGACATAGGGGACTCTAACAACTCTAGTGTTAAGTATCAACATTGAGCCAGAGGCTTAGGAAAATGCCTTCTCCCCTCTCCTATTCTCCAAGCATCCCCCAGGCTAACTGTTCTCTTATGCTTTGCCAGCAGAGCTTGGCTGAAAAGTTGATAAGTCAAATAAGACAAGGTGGAGATTGAGAAGGAGAGCTTTTTCAGAGACAGTCCCCATTACAAAATTGCCTCCCTATGGTAACCTGTGTGTCTGGCCTCTGTAAGGTGATTCTGTCTTTTTTTTTTTTTTTTTTTTGCCTCCTGAATATTTTTGCCATGAATGGCATTAATCACTGAGGGAGGTGCTCTTAAATCCTGGACAATATGAAATGCTCCCATGGGTTTCTTCTCATTTTGCTGGCTCTCACCCTAGTAGATGTTTAATAATGGTTAGATTGAATAACATGTTAAAGAATTGAGCTAGTTCTATATTCATACTCTATGGGTATATCTTTATTCAAATGTCACTCATTTGCCACAGAATGTTCTCTCAATTTTTTAAAAATCTATAATGCAATACTTGAAAATCGACAAGTGAAGTATATTGATCATGCCCTGGAGCATCATGGTTTTGCTTCGTGTTTGGGTTTGTCTTTATGAAAATATCTACAGGAATTATTTTGTTTCTATCTGTAGTTGCATTTTGGAATTTATATTAGATAAGACTCATATATATACTTCTTATTTTCTGAATAGCTCCACATGCTACTGATTTTACAAAGTTACTATGAGATATGTTTAAAAAATGAACAGAATAACTGTAAGGAGAAAAAGTACTGAAAAATCTGATGAATTTTCACTGTGAATGTCTATAATGTAGTGGGGAAAAATGGTATTTCCCTGTTCTTATCCCTCCAAAAAAGATGCACAGAAACCTATTTCCTAAGGTGTTCCCCACTTTACCCAAGATAAAAATGTTTTGCAGATTTTTTTTTTAATTTACAATATTGTCTCCTGCAATACCCCAATTTAAACGTAATCTTAGGTATTGTTGTCAATGTCAAATTATACTGTAAGTGCAGGAACAAATAAAACAAAATAGATATAGGTTTTAGAAAGAAACAAAGTTTGCTGCTAGTGGGTGTCCTCCCCTCTTGACATTTTTAGAAAATTCTTTAGATGGATATGATGCAGGAAATGTATATCCCAAGCACAGAAATTGGAAGAATATTTTCTTACTTCATTTCTGCCCTAGACAGTCAGCTAGAAGTGACTGCAAATTCATTTTACTAATTTCTCTGTAGATTGGGGAGTAGGCATCACCCAGCAGAGACTACCATGCTCTCTACTGTCTACTTTTATGGATGTAAAATCACAAATGAGCATGGACACAGTTCAAGGAAAATTCAGAAAACATCCTAAAATATGAGTTGGTTTGCTGCAAACTTGGAACTTCCAACAAACATCTTGAGTTCAAAAGATTTTGCACACCCTTGAATGTATTCAGCCAGTCCCCTTTCCATCTTCCTTTGTGATGGAAGGCATGAGCGGGGAAGATTCTGGAATGGAGCTTCAAGGTTGCCAGGAGGGGGAAGAGAGATTCCAGGGGAAGCACCTCCTTAGCCCCCAGCCAGAGTGTGGGAAAGTCCAGAGGATGAGACTGGCCACTCCCTAGGTCATCATGGTTATAGCTGCTGGTGTTGGGGATTAGAATTAGTCTGGCGAGATTCTGTCTATTAGGTGTAAGCTAATAAAGGAGCTAAACTGTTCTGGACTGTCTCGCTGTTGTTCTTGGGCTGAACCTGACATCCTTGTCCCCAAATGAAGTGGGGAATTTCCAGAAGTGGTTGGTGAATGCTACCTATAAACCTTCCCGATGATCATTTCCAGGTACTTCCCCATGCCAGATGTGTTGAGACCTGCCGCCAGCAGGGTTGCTCAGGAGGGGAAACAGGCTTGTTGCTTCAATTGTACTAAATGCCCTGAAGGAAGAATTTTAGTCATAATTGGCAAGTAAAAACAAGCAAACACATTTCTGGAGTTTTCAAGCTTGTTCCTTTTTCATTCCTTTAAACTTTGCTATAGTAGGGGAAAGGATTTCTCCAGCCAACTTTGGAATGGGATTGGGGGTAAACAGCAGTAGGTGGTTTTAAAGTAGGTTATTAAATAATTTGCATGCATCTATTACATGATCGAGGAGCCATCTCGCCCTGGTTATTTCAGCCTGCCCCACTCGGTCCAGCAGAAGGGGCATGTTGCAGACCCCACCAGTCAAGGAATTTCAACTGGTGGGGTCTAGGCAGAGGGCCTTTTCTGCTGTGGCCCCCACCTTATGGAACAATCTGCCTCCCGAGGTCTGGTGTGCCCCCACTCTCA